TTTTGGGGGGGGGTTTTGGGATATGGGGTTTTTTAGAGAATTTTGGGGGGAAATTTTGGGGGGTTTTGGGGTTTTTAGGGAATTTTTGGGAGGATTTGGGGTTTTTAGGGAATTTTTGGGGGATTTTTGGAGAATTTTGGGAAATTTGGGGTTTTTTTTGGTGGGATATGGGGTTTTTTAGACAATTGGGATTTCCTGTAGGATTTTGGGATTTCTTTTGGAATTTTGGGGGATTTCCCGTGGGGTTTTTGGGCTTTCCCAGGGAATTTTCAGCATTTCCTGTGGGATTTTTTGGGATTTCCTGTGGAATTCTGGGATTTCCCGTGGGATTTTTTGGGATTTCCCATGGAATTCTGAGATTTCCCGTGGGATTTTTGGGATTTCCTGTGGAATTCTGGGATTTCCCATGGAATTTTTGGAATTTCCTGTAGGATTTTGGGATTTCCTGTGGAATTCTGGGATTTCCCCTGGGATTTTTGGGATTTCCCATGGAATTTTCAGCATTTCCCATGGGATTTTTGGGATTTCCTGTGGAATTCTGGGATTTCCCAGGGAATTTTCGGGATTTCCCATGGGATTTTTGGGATTTCCTGTAGGATTTTGGGATTTCCCATGGGAATTTTCAGCATTTCCCATGGGATTTTTGGGATTTCCTGTGGAATTCTGGGATTTCCCATGGGATTTTTGGGATTACCTGTAGGATTTTGGGATTTCCCACGGGAATTTTCGGGATTTCCCGTGGGAATTTTCGGATTTCCCGTGGGATTTTTGGGATTTCCTGTGGAATTCTGAGATTTCCCATGGAATTTTCGGGATTTCCCGTGGGATTTTTGGGATTTCCTGTGGAATTCTGAGATTTCCCATGGAATTTTCGGGATTTCCCATGGGATTTTTGGGATTTCCCGTAGGATTTTTGGGATTTCCTGTAGGATTTTTGGGATTTCCTGTAGGATTTTGGGATTTCCCGTGGGATTTTTGGGATTTCCTGTAGGATTTTGGGATTTCCCGTGGGAATTTCTCCGTTTTCAGCCGTTTTTTGACCGTTTTTCGCGGGGTTTTTTGCGTTTTTTCCCTTTTTTTTCCCTTTTTTTCCCATGTTTGGGATTTTCCCCCCCCCCCCCCCAAATTTCCCCCCAGGAACGCCGGGAAGGAGCCGAGCCCCCCCCCCCCCGAGGAGGACAGCGACGAGGAGGAGCCCGAGGGCCCCTCCCCCCCCCC